GACTGTAATGACTAAGAACTCATCTAAATTATTTTTCCAGCAGCTTAAGTCCTCAAATAGGGCTATTTTCTTTAGCAACTAATTCATTTAAAAAATCATACATCCAATAACAATTGAAGCTGTATGATAAAAACTATTCTAATTACAAAAGACTCTTCTAACCACAGAAAGTTTTGTGAAAGTAACGTATATAAAAATGTTTGATAAGTTTCATATTCATTTTGTTTTCTTTTGCATTTTTCAAATATTCCTAGCTGACCAAACATTGAAAGCTCATATTGAAGGCTACATCTACACAACCATCCAAGTTTTATTTAATAAACTACGATGATCATTAAAAAGACGCATTATTGTAACACATGTATTAAATATTAAAATGATTTTAGCAGATGTATTTTATGAGACGAATGTTAAACAAGGTTCGAACATTAGCTTGTATATACTTTTGATAAAAAAAAATACAAAATGCAAAAGAATGCAAAAAAAGATCTAATAAAATCATTCTAAGATGATTTTCAACAAAATATGTTCTTATCAATAATGCCAGTAGAATTGAAAAATTTTGGATAATACTGTAGGTATTATTTTTTAAATATATATCCTCAATATCTGTCCAACTTTGGATACTAGAACAATATAAAGAATAACCAAGGATTAGTACTCAATAAAATACTGTATATATGACCAAAAATTAGTGATATCTAACTAATACTGTTCGCTTTGTCCTTATATCTACTGATGTAAACAGAAAAACTAAAAAAGACAATTCTATATGGCTCTAGATAACAAAAAGAAAGATAAAAGACCGAAATTGGTGATGATGATTGATCGCTTCAAATATAACTAGATTGCCCGATCAGAGTCAAAAGTCTCACTGAGAGCACTAAAATTTAAAGACTGGTCTATATCCAACTGCTTGCATGAGAGTATGAATCTATCAACTATATCAGCTCTTAGTAGACTATACGACGGAAACATGCAATAGGTTTCAAAAAAGTATGTCAAATTATGCACGGGATAGATATGAAAAATATGCAAAGAAAGAATTGGTAATTGATATAAGAGAAAAAGAAAAATGACACTGTCATGTAACCAATACAGGTCGAACTCACCCTGTCGATTCTATCGGGTCCGAGACTTTCCGACAGTCGGATCCGATGATACGAAAACATCTATTTTTGTCTATTCTAATTTGCAGAATGTATCCGAAGTATATTTTGAATATTGTTTATGATGAAGCAAAGCCGTTTTAACCAAGATAATGAAACCAATCTAAATTTGACTCGATGACAAAAATCCGTCTTGTCAAAGTAGATTAAAATATGTTACGAATAATGTAACTCTATTAGCATTACTTTGGGGACTAGGAAGATCAGATGCGGTCTCATACTCAATGCAAAATAATGCGTCTATTTTTACGTATTATTAAATCGACTTTTGAAAGTAAGTCGTTTTAAAGTTGTTCATTATTATTGTTTTTGTTACTCAGAGCTATACGAAGCAAATTTATCTTAAATAATTAAATATATTTTTTTCTTTATTTTAGGGCAGTTTCAGCATCGAAATTGAACAGTAAGTATCTTATTTAATTAAATAATTTTTTTTCTTCATTTTAGGTAGGGGTGCAACAAATTCTGTTTATTTGCATAAAACTTGTAAATTTTCGATATGAAACTTCTCCAAATCGAACCAAATTGTTATGTCAATTATAACCAGTTTTATTCACTCTATCTGATACTGATATTTATTTACCAAATGTAAAAAGACTACTTCTAAGATTTTGTAGCATTTGGTGAAAACTGCATATTTCCACCAAATGCTTCCAAATCTTAGAAGTACATTTTATATTTGGTAAATAAATATCACTACCAGATAGAGAGAATAAAACTGGTTATAATTGACACGAAGATTTGGTTAGATTTAGAGGAGTTTCATACCGAAAATTTACAACCTTTATCCAGATAAACAGGATTTGTTGCACATCTATTAATATCTGGTTTAGCTATAAAATTTCCCAGGTCAAGCTCGGTACGTCGGAACCGTTCGGTTCCGTTGAATTCCGACGATTTCTTTGCTACAGAATTCCGGTCCAGATTTCGTCGGACCAGTTCCGAACAGTTTCCATCGGTTCCGTAGATTTCCGACGAATTCCTGGTCGAAATGTTGCGGAACTTCACGGAATTTTTCCGGCGGAAACTGGATCGGAATCCTGTGGTCAAGAAATCGTCGGAAGTCAACGGAGCCGACCGAAAACCAACGGAATCTATAGGATTCGCTGCCGGAAAACAAAGGAAACAAACGGTTCCGGCGATCGGAACAATGGACCTGGGTTCTACAGAATCCCGTCGGATTCTGCATTTTCCGACTGTCAAAAACCGTCGGACCCGACATCCGACAACTTCCGACTGTATTCTGCTACCAAGAATTCCGACAACTTCCCACAGGATCTCTGTGGGAAGTTGTCGGATTTCCGTCGGAATTTATCGGATTAAGCCAGATTTCCGACATTATCCGACGGGATCCGAGACTTGGATTACTCGTCCTGGGAATGTATGACTGATTGAGTGAATCATAAAAACGAACCAGATAGTTAACTGAAATAATATGGATATGACAAAAATAAAATTGATTAGAACTAACGAGATAATTGAAAAATATATGACAATATGTTTCAAAACAGTTGGATCATTTAAATCTCTTGTTACTGATTTCAAATATTTTGTCAGCATAACGGTATAACAATAATCAAAATTGTTCAAAACAAGAGTATTTCCTGTATTACATGATTGTAAAGAAATCACGACTCATGAACACTTAAAATACACTGTTAGTAGAGGTCAGGAGAAAATAAATTACAAAATCGTCATTTTTGTATTTCAATCTCTCTCTAATGAATGTATATTTTTCTTTGCTTTCGAATATGCTGCACAACTCTTCTTTTGACTGACCGAAAAATAAATGTTACTATGCATATGATTGGTTGAGAATAACAATTAATGCGGATCATGCAAATTTAGTTTTTTAATACGTAGAAAAGTGATGTAAAAGAGAAAAATAAGGTAGGTTACGCTTCAATACTCGTTGTTCGATAAAAACAAGTTTTTCTTTTTGTTTACGAAGTACTTCACAAGTGTACTTACTTTTTTGTTTTATTGCTGGTAAGCTTGTTCTTCTCTATTAACAATATTAAACATTAATATATATAGAAGTCTAGATTTATTCCTTATTACTTTTTAATCATATAATGTTCTACAATGCGGTGCTTCTACAGAATGTGCAAGACCCTTATCTGTATGTACATTGTATCACATCCAGAAAACTCTGTTGGCATGAGGATGGTGCATATTTTGTAGAAGTACCTACCGCTTTTATCACTTATTCATGCAGGCATAAAAAATGAAGAACTTTAATAGTTGCAAAAAAAAACTTAACCATCAAATACATAAGCTACCCATTCTGCATTTAAACTAATCTCAAGAAATGAATTCGTTTAAATGCGTTAAATACATTAAAAGACGGAGAAAATAATGAGTGAGTTTTGAACATAATACTACTCATTCAGTACTATACGTGTGAAAATATGTTTTTTAGTTGATCTTTCCGTGTTAACAAACATTTTAGCTATTAAACTAAGGGAGAGAAATAGTACTTCATTATTCAACGTACTTTACCGTTCTTTAATGCACCTTGCCGTATTTACCTTATTTTAACCTTGTCTAATGTACTTTACAATAATTCACCTTACCTCATCGTGCTTTAACGTACTTTGCACTGTAATAAAATTCGAGATACTTCAATGCATTTCGTTTTATTTTAGCGTCTTTTGAGGTTAAACTTTCTACTCATATCGAAATCACACTAATTGATAGAAGCTCATTATATAATCAGAAGGTATCAAATAAAGTACACTATTGAAGCCTCTAGTCGAACCATTCAACAATATACAAAGCAGTGTATGCAAAGAAACTAAATTAAAGCAGACCAACTATCCGTATGGTTCCAACTAGCAAGTATTGCGTGACTAAAAAATTTATCAATCTCATTTCTTGATACAGGAAGAGTATTTTTGGAAATATTATTTTTTTTTTAATTTGAGCCAGAGGTTATCGAGACTGAGGAATTCGGATCTGTTATCGGTTTCTTAAAAGTCGTCACTCTTATTTCTGGATATCGAAAGAGTATTTCACGGAAATAAGGGTTTTTTGTATAAAGGTTGAGCGGTAGTAATCCAAGTTGATGAATTCGAATCTCTCGTCTTTTTCTCAAAATTTGTCACCATGATTTTTCTTTATAAATATTCATGAAATATCTGTTTTCTTTGGAGAAAGTAGACCATGACTTTTGAGAAACCGAGAACAGAATTAGATTCTTCCATCTCAATTGTGTTTGGTAAAACTTTGATGAAAAAATATTGCATACTTGTAGCACTCCTTCCTTACCGAGAAATTTTAGTGATGAATTTTAAGAGAGTTTAGGAAAAGATTACGAAATTGAGGCACTGATCAAAATTTGAATTTTTTGTTTTCTATATACATTCCAAAGGCCATCATATAAAAATTCTAAACCCAAATATTTAACTCATTGTAATATTTTATTGCGAAGTTAGTCCAGTTCGATATTTAGCTTTATCTACCTATTATACAGAAAATGGTAACATATTGACCTAAAAATGTGTACTAGGAATATAATTCAACAAGTTAGAGAAGTTTTTTCTACAACCTACCAAAATATAAAGTATGAAAAGATGCATTGCTCACTGAACTCGAAACATGTTTTTCAATTATGTGCTCATATGTACCAGTAACTATGTATTTCACAGATATTTTATATCGACAGATTGATCATCAATATTTATCAATTGAATCATCATGTCACTCTTGACTGTGATCGTCTTTTGCGCTACTATTTTTTATGCGCAAAGTACTACATACAATATTACTAATTCTACGACAAACTGGCAAACTATTTTGATTAATCTCAAAGCGGGTGACATTGCTATCATGCGCTATGGCATCTATACAACATCGGGCACTGGCTACTTCCAGCTGACTCTGAACGGTACCCTCAACAGTCCAATTATCATCCAAGGTGCACCTAATGAATCACGCCCGATTATTCAATGCCCTCAAGCTGGTGCGAGTGCTCAAAATGTTATGAATATTCAAGGTTCAAATTTCATGGTGAAAGGGATAGCATTTACCAAAGGCTCAAGAGGAATCCGTGTTGGGCCGGCTGGTATGTAACTCGAAGTCTCTTAGCGTTCTTGTCTATCTCATTTTTTTGTCAAACTTAATATCTAGTTACAACCAATGCAATCTTTGATAATATTTACATTTACAACACTACTGGAACAGCATTTTCAGCCAACGATGCAGGTAATGAATATGTTAATGTAACATTACGAAACAGTGAAATAACAAATACAAACGCTTTAGGTGAGTATCGATTATGAATTGTCTCTTTTTTTGTACTGTCTTCCTACTGTTTTCACAAATGCAGCTAATACAACAGGTGAATGTGTTTATCTTGGATGTGCCGATGATACATGTCGAATTCGTGATTCAATCATTGACCACAACTATTGTCATGATACACTTGGTTCAGTAGGAGGATCGAGGGCTGGGTTCCAAGTCAAAGTAAACTTAGATTAATGTAGTTCTGTTGAAAAACTTTGTGTTTTTTTTAGACTGGATCATATAATGTTATCATTCGTAATAATGTTTGTTACAAGGTAGTTGGACCTTGTATTGTTGTTTATGATGATTATGATCGTGGACGAAATTTGATTGATGGAAATTTGGCAATCAGTGCTGGAACAGCTGATCTCGGAATACAATGTACATCTGGAGCGACAATCACTAACAATATTGTGATTATCGCCAGTACGTATAAGATTTTATTATGACAGCATCGATCGTGTTCTTTTGAATAGACTTGCCTAGAACCTTATAAATCAGATTTTGTTAGAATGATTGAGAGGAAAAGTTTTGACAGAAACCAAAACATTATCAAACATAAAGAACTTTTTTTCACATCTTGCCTGAAAGTCATTTTTGATTCGTCTTAAGTCACACTGAGCGATAAGATCTTTGTTTTCGAAGACGAGTACATTGCTGGACGAAAATGAGAAAATTTAAGGCAATTTAAGTACCCACAACAAAAAACATTTGCTGATTTTATTGATTATCGACTATTAGATCTTGCCGGAATTGGTGTCATTCAGAATTCGATTTATCCTGCTATCAACTACATTCGAAATATAACAATTAGTCGAAATACTGTTTATATGTCTCAAGCGGATGCATGTCTTCGTCTTAATGGCGTTACAAATAAGAATATTACAATTTCCAATAATGTACTCTACTGTGGAAGTCAATTATCAATCAAAGCTACAAATGATTTGACAGGTAAATTAAGATAAACACTAGCATGGTTTTTTCGAGGCATCTAACTTTTTTCTTGTTTTAGGTGCCTCAGTTTACAATAATGCTGTCAATGGTAGTATTAGTGCTACAGGCATTCAATCATGTGGAACATTCGCAATCTCTAACAATGTCTTCATCAATGCTACAGCCAATAATTTTTATCCAGCAGCAGGGTCTCCACTGATCAATAAGGGTGCGAATCCATTTTATCAAGCTCTTTATGATTACAATGGAATGAGTAGATCCCTAGCAACACCAACCGTTGGCGCATACGTAAGCATAACTGAAACTACTTTATTTAATCATTACTAATCCGTTGTTTCTCTACTGTTTAGGAATATTCTACTACAAATAATTCTGGGTGTGCGACAACGAACAATTTTAAATGTGGCTCATCCACAGCTAGTGTACCACAATATCCATTAATCTCTTGAACATTGAGATGATCTTAGCCGAAACTTTAAACATTTTCACTTTATTACTATCTATATCAAACCTTACAACTAACTTTGCTTTTTTTATTTCATCTTTCTTTCATCTTTAATTAGTTTCTTTGTCTTCTCATTCTCTATACTCATATATAACTTTGTAGTTTAAGTTAGTGCATCTATTTATTCCTTTTGAATATAAAGATTGTGTGCGACTACACCAAAACACATATAAATAGGCATAGATACATATATATTGAAGTACAGAAAAGGAAAGGAAGGAGAGTCTTAATAATCGTCAACCCTGGAAAACAACATCAAAAGAAAACAGTATTAATATTGACAAACAAAAACTTAATTATCATTCAATTCAATTGTTTTAATATTCATATTTATCAGAGCCTCTATTCTATTGAAATTGAAACATATTGTATCGAAGCATCTTCATAAAAAGACTTGGAATCGATGTTGTCAAAAGCCTTTCTAGAAAAAAATAGACTTGAATTATTCTTTCAACGTTACATCATTTATGTGATATATATATAGATAACGATTATACTTAATTCATAGGTGTGCAAATTCTTTCTATTTAATAATATGATTGATTCACAAATATAAGGAATACATTTGAGTAAGCAATATGTCTTTTGGATTTTTAAACAATAAACTCATGCTGTTTTTCTGCCGCAAATTTGTTTTAACTTCAAAGGCAAGGAATCAAGTTAAAATCAGTTGTTGAATTCTCAATGTTTTGAACATTTCTAACCAGTCACTACGACAGAAATTTCGTTCCTTCACGAGTTTCTTTGTATTCATTCATTTATCTTGATATCACTGATTACTCATTACTATTATAATATATTTATAACGACTACTGGAAGAAGATCTGAAGTTAAGAACAAGTAATAAGAAGTTATTGCTACACACTATCGTACTAATTCATTCTCTCATTTAGTATGACAAACTAGTCCTCGCATAAATTCAACATCATAGTTAAATAGAAATTAAATGGCTAATCCAACAATATTAGTGAAAGTTCGGAGAAGGGTGGGGAGGGGGGCTCGATTTGATGGTTTACCCAATTTCTACAGACATCCTTCTGATGATGTAGAACATTTTTTTTAAGGAAGTGGCTATGTGCACTCAGGTAGGTATTGTCAAAAAATTACTAAATATTGAGTTATGTTATAGCCATATATGTTCTTTATAATTATTATAATTAAAATTTATCAATTGATTAACAAGTTTGCTCTATTTAGTCTTTATTGAATTCGAATAAAATACAAAGGAAGTATTAAAATCAAAATAATATAAACGAGAAAGTTAATGGAAGTAAAAATCAACTGATTTACAAATATTTCTAGCAGATACTCTCTTAAATTTTTCAAGGAAATAGATGTATTTTCATTATTTTTAATATAACTAGCATTAATCAGATAAAAATATCTTTTTATAAAACAATAATGAGAAAATTTTCTTTTACATTCGTTTCTGATTGTATCTCTAATTTTGACAGCTATTTTTTCTCATCTTGAAAGAATCTCAGTTTAGAATCTTGTTTTAATTCTTATTCTTTAGTGAGGATTAATCAATGGGTCGTAAAAAAAGGATATCTCGTTCCAGATTAAAAGCTAATTGGAATTTTATGTTTTTTTTAATTTCCCATTTTGTAAGCTAATTAATCAAGAAAACGTAGAATCTTTCGTTCTATAAATTATCAATAGAGAAAGAAGGCACAATTAATAGAGAAGAAACACACTGGCATCGATATAGTTTCCGTCCGATTTATTGAAAATAATAAAATGCAACCATTTCGTTCAAAATCTAAGAGATCAAGCGCTAGAAATATGTTCTAAATGAGTTGATTTTTATTTGAATTAACTTTTTCTTTTATAGTTGTTTGATATTAATACTTGTTTTATACTCTATTTGAATTTAACAACAAATAAACAGAGTAAAATTATTAATAAATTAATAAATTTTACTCATGTTAATTATGAAATACATATATGGCTATAATATATCTCAATATTTAGTAACTAGTTGATAATACCTACTTGAGTGCACATAGCCACTTCTTTTTTTTAATAATAGCATTAAGAATATTACGAAAGCTAATGCTGAATCGAATAACCATAAAATTCTGGGAACTGTCCATGGTGAATCAACGCAATCAGTTGGATGATGGTTCAATAACAATGAACATAATTTTTAAAAACGATCAGATTTCGAAATGCATTTTTGAAATCGTTATTTTTCAACCATAATGGTTCATAAAAAATCCGAAAGATTAAAGCAACGAACACATCTATATGATGCACCAGTTATAGGATGAGTTATGGTTGTAGAGAAGATACACAGCCATACTTACATTCCATATCCACGCTCCTTAAGATTTTCAAATGATTCCCGTGCTACCTATTATTCTTTGCAGATTATCAAGTACGAAATAAAACCTTTCGAGGAGAAAGTGTAGATGATAATATGTATCGAACAAGGTGTGCACTTTTTTTGTTTGCAAACACCTGTATATATATTTTTTTTTCTAATTTATTATGATGAATATTTATTTACAAATTAACGAAGAATATTTAGATTAACATCTTTCTGAGCATCGATTAAAACTGATGTTGTTCGTTTTTGCTTTTTCATTTCTTCTGCATAAATACGTCGAAGAATTTTAAATGCTTCTAATGTAGCATAAGGCATTTGTGTTATTGGATCAAAATATTGTGCTGGCATTCCTGTTATTGGGCATAAACGACGATAATGATGATTGGATGAATTTAATTTTGAAAATGTTTCATTATATGTTTGAATATGTGTAAATGAAACAAATGTACGTGAACATCGTTCCGGTATAGATTCAATTTGATAACTTTCATCAAGTAGATCATTCCATTGATCATTTGGTTCATTTAAAATTGTCATTGAACTTGTACAAATACGCGGACATTCTTGTATTAATTTCATACGTTTTATTTCTTTTTTCTTTAATTCAATTTGTTGATATGCCTCTGAAAAATTATTAAGAAAATCGTTTTCATTTTTATTTTTTCAGGAAATAAAAATTTACCTAACGATTCAAGATTAATTTCCTCTAAACAGAGAACAAAAGAAAAGATTAAATTTGATTTAGAATATTTCATTTTACCAGTTATTTTAGCTTCTTCAAGTAATTCTTCTTGTGTAAGTTTTCTTACTTCTCGAGTATTTCTTAATGATGCAACACCTTTGAGATAATCACGGCGTTCTTGTCGTTCTTTTTGTCTTTTTTCAAGTTCAACTCGTTTAACACTAGTTGATTTACGTAATGTTTTAGCCTCTGAATCGAATGAAAAAGAAAAAGATTTATAATTTTTTTTTTTTTTCAAAAAAATTATAATTTACCAATTTTCGGTGCATTTTCTTTCTTCTGTTGTTGTCGAATTAATTTTGATTCTCCTGCTTCTTCTTGTTCTTCTTTTTTTTTAGCTTTTAACTATAAAAAAATACATGAACAAACAAAAAAACCAGAAGAAATTTCTTTACTTCTTGTTGAAGACTTTGTGCTTGGTATATAATCTTTTTTCTTTTACGTTTTGTTGTGCCATCATCATCACTATCTTCATCAGTTTTTCGCTTTTTATTTGTATCTATTTGTTCTTGTTCATCTTCGCCTTGCTGTTGTTCTTCATCATCTTGATCAAAATCTGAATCTACAACATCTTCTTCAGATTCTTCCGAACGATAATCATTATCTTCTTCTTCCTTAAAAAAATATAAATTTAAAATAATCTAATAAAAAGTAAGTTCTTCTTACATCAAGAAAACCACCATAAGCTGTACCATAAAATTCATCATCTGGATCCTCTTGTTGTTCGAGTAAACGCTTTAGACGATTGCCAGCAGTTTGACGACGTTCTCTCTCAAGAGCAAATGTCATATTTTTTTGTTTCTGAAATATATAGTTCTGTTTTGTATATTGAAAATAAAGAATTATACTCTAGGTTTAATTAAACTCTGTTAGATGTAAATGAAAGGTTAACTTCAATGTAAAAGTATACAATATATCATTGAATGAAAATTTTGCTTATTCTCAGCAGGAATAATCAAAAATTAACAAATCATAATAGAAGACTCAGAATTTTGAGATATGTGAGGAAATTATTATTTTAGCTAGACATGAATATTTCGATTATTGTTCATGTTCTGAAATTTCATCAATCATATTACCTTAATTGAATATTAACTTTCTTTCAAAAAAAAGGATTGATTCTATGGTCTAATCGCTGAGAGTGAATGATGAACTTTAATTAATCGAACACAAACACTGAAATTGAATTGAACGAAAACTAAATTCATACTAAAGCTAAACACTAGACCTCATCAAATTGTAAACCTACCTACATCTAAAATTCTTGTCTAGTTTTATAAAAGATTAATCTTACTAATGAATCATATATGCAATTCGAACTAATTGACTGATTTCTTTGTAAGACAAATCTTTTATGAATAATAGATACTTTACTAATATAACTCTCATATCAAGCAATGTCATATCATTACATAAAAATATAAATTAAACACTATATTCAATTAATTTTAAATTGAATGTATTGTATATTTCAAACTGACATTTGGTAAAATTCGGACTTTGAAATATAAACCAATCAAATTATTCTATGTCGTATAATAAATGACATCTAGAACGTCATTTGATTCATTTTTAGTTCTTGTCTTATTGGTCATAATCTTTCTTAAAGAACGAACTGAACACAAAGGTTTTTTTTTTATTTCATATCATTTCTTTTTTTTTTTTGATCGAAATGCCTCCAAAAACAAAAACTCGAGAATCAACAGTTGAAAAAGAAAAAGAAACAACTGTATTAACGGAAGCACCAACAGCCGTTACTGCTGCACTTCAAGTCAATGATAGTGTATCAACGGATTGTGAATCTGGTGGACCTACACCAATAACTAAATTAGACAAATCATGTGGTATTGGTAACGCAGATCTAAAAAAATTACAAGAAGCTGGATTTTGTACTGTTGAATCTATTGCTTTTGCACCGAGAAAAAGTCTTCTAGCTGTAAAAGGTATAAGTGATGCAAAAGCTGATAAATTAGCGGTAAGTTTTATATTGAAGTCGAAAACAAAAACAAAACCAGAAATTGAAAATTTTTGTTTTAGGCTGAAGCAGCAAAACTTGTTCCAATGGGTTTTACAACAGCTACAGAATATCATCAAAAGCGTTCAGAAATTATTCAATTAACAACTGGTTCAAGAGAACTTGATAAACAGTTACAAGGTGGTTTTGAAACAGGTTCTATTACAGAATTATATGGTGAATATCGTTGTGGTAAAACACAATTATGTCATCAAGTTGCTGTTACTTGTCAAGTAATTTTTTTTTCAATACATGTTTGTTTGTTTTAAATCTTTCTTGAGTTTTAGTTACCAATTGATATGGGTGGTGGTGAAGGTAAAGCAATATATATTGATACAGAAGGTTCATTTCGTCCTGAACGTTTATTGGCTATTGCTGAACGATATGGTCTTTCTGGTCAAGACGTTTTAGATAATATTGCTTATGCACGTGCTTATAATACAGATCATCAAATACAGTTATTATATATGGCAACAGCTATGATGTGTGAATCAAGGTAGAAGCAAAACAAAAACAATGTTTATTATTTAACATCAAGAAACTTTTTTTCTCAATGTAGATATGCAGTATTAATTGTTGATAGTGCTACATCATTATTTCGAACGGATTATTCAGGTCGTGGTGAATTAGCTGCAAGACAAATGCAATTAGCCAAATTTATGCGCATGTTATTACGTATTACAGATGAGGTTTGATTGTCATATTTCATAAAATGATTTGAATTAGTTTGTTTTAATTTAGTTTGGTGTTGCAGTAATACTTACAAATCAAGTCGTTGCTCAAGTTGATGGTCAAGCTATGTATGGTGATCAAAAGAAACCTATTGGTGGTAATGTTATGGCTCATGCATCTACAACACGGTAAGTATTCTTTTTTTTTTTTTATTTCACTTTAGTTAGTTTATGTTTGATTCTGTTTTTGTTTTGTTTTGTTGTAGACTTTATTTAAAAAAAGGCAAAGGTGATTCACGTATATGTCATGTTGCTGATAGTCCCTGTTTACCGGAAACTGATGCCGTATTTGCTATTGGTCCAGAAGGAATTGTGGATGCAGCACCGAAAGATCTTTGCTGAGTGTATATATGTATAAGATTTTCATTTGAATTATTTATTGTATTCTTCTTATTAAAGGAGAGTTGTGAGAGATAAGATTGAAGTATATGAAGCTGTTACGTTTATTTAATAATGTCTTATTCTTTTGTTTAAAACGATTGATAATTAGATTTTGAAAATAAAGATTTTATATTGATGAAACAAATAAAACTATTGAAATCAGAGTTGGTTTTTTTTCTTTAATGCTCCGCAAACCAAATTACTCAAAGGAAAATCAGCATGATTTTCCACTTCTAAATTTTTTATTGCGTTGCGCATTGCTTTCTGAATTATATCAAATTTTAACAATTTGATCAAATTGGGTATAATGAAAGTGAAACGAAGTTTTAGTGTGGTACAACGAATTTGAACAAAACTTTGGAAGTCTCTCATTAAAAGCTTAGAAACAACTGAAGAATTTGATATACGAAAGCTAAATATTACAGTAGATGATTTAGGTAATATTGACAAACATTTTTGTATGTATCAAAGATGGATCAAAGCTCGCAATATCAAAATATGCACAAATAACATTGATGATGAATAGTAGACAAAACACCATACGACCATTAGAAAGAACATTACTTTTAAAACTATTGATGCAAACAGTTTTTGCATGAAATAGGAATGTATTTGTTTGCATTGATCAGAAATTTTACGAGTTTACTACCATGAGAAATCACTACAAGGGAAAGAAGCTTCACAATAGATAATGAGAATAGTAAAAGTTCTAGCTGGTAACATACTTTGCGGAGAATAACTAATAAATGAATGGTTTCTGTATAGCTTTGAAAGACATTCTCCCTCTTGAACAGATTTAAACAAAAGCTATGTAAATAGTCTTGATTCAAAAGCGTTTTATCAGTTGGAAAACTTTTCTCGTCAGAATTTTTACTATATTTATGTCACTACTACTTCTTTAGACTTTCAGAATATCAACGTCATTATATCTTCTATTCTGGACCAATCCAAGAGTCAATTCTAGTAAATCCAAAGACATTTTCAAACATTTGAAATATAAATAAAATCATCGGATTCGAAAATATATGAAAAATCATCTGAGATCTCTTACAAGACATTTCGATAGGTATCTTCATGAATGTCAAAGAAATATTTTTTCTTTTCAATAAATTTTATTTCACAATTTAATCTTTCTTTAAAATAAAGGCTCCTACAATGAGAAAACCCTATCGGTAAATTTTTCATATAAATTTTTTTTTCTGACTCAATTCGATTCCTGAGTAGATACAATATCAATGATTTATTTTCTCAATAGACAACAGAACTTTGAGAAGCAGAAAAAAACAACTCTCCATCATACTAATGCATATATAATCATTGAATCGTCAAGAAAACTAATTATATAAAAAAATTTTTCTACGAACTGCTTTAGAGAGAAACGGATGGTAAACGATGATTTTATTTTCCTCAAAAATTGTGTAAATTATTTTTTTTTTCAATTAAGAATATAAGTTGTGCAAGAATTGAAGTAGGCGTGCTCTAATGAAATACTTAAGAAAAAATGAATTTTAAGAAAAGGTGCATAGCGACACATGGGTAGTTTTGACAAGTAAATAATGACTATAATATAATTTTTCTTATTCAATATCGTCTATTCTTGACTCCAATAAGCAGCTTTTTTCTTCATACAATGCTGAATAATACAACAACAGATACGCAATCACTGGAATCTTTGATTGTAGCTTATTATTCTTTAATATTGGTTATTATTGGAACTCTTTTTAATTGTTTAACATTCTTCGTTCTTTGTCGATCAACATTTAGAGATAAAAAAGCAAGACCAATCATTCATTATATGCGTACGATAGCTATATTTGATATTTTAATGTTATATGGATGGAATCTAGATCATTATCTAGTGATTGTACATGAGTTTCGTCTTGTAAAATATTCAATAGTATCATGTAAATGTATTAGTTTTATCAGTTATTTTACCTCACAAACATCGGCTTGGCTTCGTGTCTTTGTTTGTTTTGATCGATATTTATCTTTAAGTCATTTTCATCGACCATGGATGAATCGATCAAAAACTGTTCTTATTATTATTGCATGTGTTATTATGACTTCTATTCTGTTAAATTTACATATACTTATTTTCGCCTGTTATCGAAAACATAACGGTACGATTAGCATTCAAGCGCAATCGTATAGAATCTACCCTCTATGGAATCATGTTAATTTAGGTGTATACAATTGTGGCCCGTTCATATTGATGGTTATGTTGAATAGTGGTGTTAGTTATCATCTATTTCGTTTTCATCATACTAATTCAACTCCAAATTCGCGTATTCAACATCGAGCTATAACACTAACATTAGTGATAACAACATCTCTTTTTTTAGTTATGACTATACCAGCAACAGTTGCTTATGCATATTTTATGCAAGCAAATGTTACGATATTACATTTTTTGGATGCGATTCTTTATACATATCATGTATTATCATTTCCATTGTATTTAATTACATTTAATGAATTTCGACGAGCATGTATTGAAATGTTAACATGTAAATTTGGTCGTCGAAAAGTTGCACCACTAATTCATCCTCCACAGTGGTAGTCAAAATTGACTATATATATTTAAGACTAATGTTTTTTTTTGTTCTTTTTTTTTGTAAGTTTCATTGCCTATGCATCTACAGAGCTTGCTACTGTATTCACATATGAAAATACATTTTAATAAATATCATTTTTCGAATTTTGCTCGAAAAAAGAACAAAACCAAGTGTTTATACAAGAATAAAAAAGACACCAGCTCGACCAAATTCTTCTTTCATTTTTGACTACGCAATAACTTATATTCGAAAGACTATATTACATTTCTCATTATACGATAATACATATTCTGACTACAGTTCCGAAAGAGAAATATTCTATATATTAATATGATCTCTATCAATTAGGTATACACCAAATCCGACGCCTGGCTCATTGTTCGGCTTCAGAAACTATTCAATCAGTCTAGACAGTATCGATTATTCAATCAATTGTCCTAGCATTTCTTGACCTATATGGACAATTATGAATATACTCTAAGGTTCGGTTAAATTCAAATATTTCTAAAAATTCTTGATTTTTTTTTCAGTATGTGTACAGATCGTTAGCTTTCGGATTATTCATTCCCCTGTGTGTCTCTATACTATAACCAAGCTTAAGATTCTCTCTTTTGGCTTACTTCTATTTCTTTTTTTTTTTTACTTGACTGAAAAATGATTGTAGTTAAGACGAAATCTTAACGTTTGAGTTCTCTGAGTGCCGAATATAGATAAAAGAAGCGAAGATAAATATAAAAACTAGTTTTAATAATAGCAATTATTGGTCATAGTCAATTGTTGCTAAACTTATAAATATTCTAGCAATACTGATGGGAAAGAAAGTTTTTAATGACCAAACTATTTTTATAGAACTGCATGATAATATACTGTTTCGATCATCATACACGTCTTTTTAACATAGTTATAAGATATTCGAAAAGTCCGGCTGAAACAAATAGTAAGTAGTTCCTCCGCAATTCAAGAAAATTAAATATTTTTGTTTTGCAGTTTGATCACATATTCATTTAAGTCTTCTGATAAAATGGCTGTACCTACAGAAGTCAAAATAGTTTAACTCATGGTCTAATACAAATAAGCCAACATTGGAAAACGTTAACTACAAATTGAATTTAGAAAACGCATATCAACTAAGCATTGTGTTCTTCTTTCTTTTTCACTGTATAGAAATAGATTCTTTTTCTTTCTCTCATAAATTGTTTGAAATAATTTTCATCTTTTTAGTTCATGTATCAAATTTTTAAAGTTACAAGACATTGTTTCAATATATTTTTCTATTTGTACTTGACAGATATTTTTATATATATATATATCAAACATATCGAGAAAAGAAAAACCACAAATAATACGATTCGGGTTGTTTAGATAAGAAAACAAAAACAAAGGCGAATTACATGAATAGAAAAAGTACAAAGTTTCTTTTGTTAACGTGGTGGTGGCGGTGGTGGAGGAGCTGTTTTTGGTAATGGTGGTATAAAACCAGTACTATTATTTTGATAATATTGTTGTTGATAAAAACTTTGATAATACATAGCAGCATTATATTGATTCCATTGACTCCATTGTTGTTGTTGTTGTTGTTGTTGTTGTTGAGAATTCTGAGGATTTGTCCATGATGTTGATGAATTTGTAGTACTATTATTTCCTCCATTTTCCATTAAAGCTGGTATATGTTGAGCACGATATGAATCACCTTCAATATATGCTGAATAATTATTATTTCGATTATTTCGTCGAAGAAGATAATGACCATCGAATACATCATTATTATTATAACGAGGACCTGTATTACTCCAATGAGTTGATGAGGTTTGTGGTTGAGTAGTTGATGTATTATTTGTATTAAGAGACATTAATGATGGAGGATTCTTTAAGAAAAAATATACATGTATATATTTAGCTTTATATGATGTTTCATAGGCTGATGCAGATAACATAATTTTTTTCAATATAACCGAATCAGAACTATCAGATATTCATCTAAGACTAACTGCGCATTTTTTACTGTTTTTGGCATAATACGTACTGTCACCAGTAATACTTAATGAGTATTGGGAATGAGGGTGTGAGAGTCTTCTCGGATCCTTGTACGTACTTTGGTGATTGAAAATCCAAAAAAGAATTTTTATTGTCTTGCTTGATATTTTATCTTATGCGACAGAGCAGGAACAAAATTTATTTTTAGTTTTACCCTGCCGCTCCACAAGACAAGGAATAAAACAGCTAAGACTGCTCGTATCTATCCAGTAGCCATTATCGAAAATCGAAATGATGATTAATCGTTCTAGTCAATAGCTGTCTTCGATTTTAGTTAGCATACGTTCTGTACTATTGAAAACTTATTCATTTATTCGTTGTGATCCATTTCTAGGAAGAAAACTGCAAACAATTGATTATTCTCAAGTGCAA